TAAGGCGCTCCGCACACTCGTGATTACTTAAGCGATCCGCGATGAAGTTCGCCTCCCGGGCATCAGAGAGGGCGCCGGTCACGCCCCCGGGGCCGTGCCACGGGAGAAGCACAGCAGACCTTTCAGCGACCGGCCTAGGAAGACCTGTCCTTGTCCTTCTCCTCACACACTTCCCGCGCAGACCCCGGCGCCCGGCCTCCCGCCCTCCCCTCGCCTCCATCACACTCACCTCCTCACTCCGCTCCGCGGCGCCTAGGATATCAGCTTTGCGAGAGCGGTCGACACTCACTGATGACGTCTCAAACCTGCGCCGAAATTGCGACAAAACTGCGCTCTGATTGGCCACCGCCCGCGACTTTCCGGCAGCGCTTGGAACAACTTTATTAGCACCTGCCTCGGAGCAGAGACGGGGTTGCTGGGCCCAGGGCACGGCCTGGGGGGCTCACGGCCCGCCGAGGCCTGGGCCTGCAAGCGAGGGTCACCGCGGGCAGGCGACACGGCGTCGGTACAAGAATAAATACGGCGTCCCGCGGCCGACTATTGGCGGAGTTGGATGAGAAAACAAGGCCTTAAGCCGGAAATGGGAAACTACAACTCCCGGCTGGCCCCGGGCCAGGCCGAGCTACCCGGGCCGCGAAGCCTGATGGGACAAGTAGTTTTGTGCACGGCTCAACCTGGGCACCTGAGGCTGGAGCGCTGAGGCCTGCGGTGCCCGGAGCGGGAGACATGGAGCTGGAGCAGAGAGAGGGGTGAGTAGCGGAGCCCGGTGCCCCGCTGCAGAAAGACGACGCGCCCTCGCAACGTGCGGTTGTCAGAGCTCGACCCGAGGCCGTGGGCGTTGTAGTTTGTGGTCTGTACAGCAGTGTCCTGCACCGGAGGGCTGTCCGCTCCGGGGCCGAGACGGGCTCTAGGGGAGGGGGCTGGGGCTGGGACCCGGGTCTGAGGGGGAGGTGGCCCTGGACCTCCGGAAGTGAGAGGGAGGGCTGGCCCTGGACCCCCGGGTTTGGGGGGCAGGTGGCCCTGGGCTCCCGGGTTTGGGGGGGTAGGTGGCTCTGGACCCCCGGGTCTGAGGCGGTAGGGCTGACTTTGGACCCTGGGGCCTGGGGGAGAGGCCTGGTCCTTGACCCCCGGGTCTGAGGGGGGAGGGCTGGCCTTGGACCCTCGGGCCTGGGGGGAGGGCTGGACCTGGACCCCGGGTCTGGGGGAGGGCTGGAGAGCAGCCGGCTGCGCCTGACCCCTGCTGACCCACAGAACCATGGCGGCCGTGGGCTTTGAGGAGTTCTCAGCGCCCCCGGGCTCGGAGCTGGCGCTGCCGCCCCTGTTCGGCGGGCACATCCTGGAGAGCGAGCTGGAGACGGAGGTGGAGTTCGTGTCCGGAGGCCTGGGCGGCTCCGGGCTCAGGGAGCGGGACGAAGAGGAGGAGGCCGCCCGGGGCCGGCGGCGACGCCAGCGGGAACTGAACCGCAGAAAGTACCAGGCGCTGGGCCGGCGCTGCCGAGAGATCGAGCAGGTGGGCAGCGCGGCTTCCGTGTCGGGGTCCCGGGCCAGGCCCTGCCTTCCCTCTTCCCTTCCCGTTTATTTACCGGCCTGGGACCGCCGCTCCTGCAGAGCCCTCTGCTCGGGAGCCCCTGACGCCAGCCCAGCTCTGGCGGCTCCATCCACGCACCTCCCCGTCCTCAGCCCAAGCTCTTCAGTTCTGTGCCCCTAACTCGAGGCCCCGAGGCCAGTCTACTCTGCTCAAGAACCTTCCCTGGATCCTTCTCCTCCCTCAAATCCCCGCGGCCCCTTCCCCAGGCTGATTCCCCAGCTGGGACGGCTGCTGGTCCCCTGGTGAGAATAAGGGTAGAGCAGCAGGCCAGGGACACCAGGGCCAGATGCTTGGGTTTTTTTCTTTCTTGGGAGCTAGGGAACCCGTTTACAGTTTTAACAGAGGGAAACACAGGGCCAGGCCTGGGTCCTGGAAGACTCTTGAAAGGTGGTCCTGTCAGGTTTGCTTAGTAAACTGGGACCAGCTCAACGGTCACTCTGACAGTTTGAGGGCCTGTTAGTCTGAGATCAGGTGTCAGCAGGGATGTTCCCAGAGGGCTGGATGCTGGCTGCGTTCCAGGCCTTCCTCTCTCATGCCGCCAGTAATCGTTGGTGTTCCTTGGTGTGTAAAGGCATCCCCTGACCTCTGCCTTTTCCGTGCACATGTGTTACGGCTGTTTCCCCTTTTTATAAAGATGGCAGTCATGCTGGGTGAAGGCCTCCCATGACCATGTTTGTTTTTTTAATATTTATTTTTTTGGTGTAGATGGACACAGCATAATGCCTTTAGTATTTTTATGTGGTGCTGAGGACCCAACCCGGGTCCCGCCCGTGCTAGGGGAGCGCTCTATCCTCTATGGCTGAGCCACAATCCCAGCCCATGTTTTAACTTGACTACCTCTGTGAAGACTACCTCCAAATCCAGTCACATTCTGAGGCGCTGGGAGTTAGCACTTCAGCACACCTTTCTGGGTGGGGGGGACGACACAAGTCAACCCATAACAATGGTATGGTGGTTCTGAGAGCGGACAGACCAGGGGCCAGGAGACCAGGGAGGTATTCAGAATGCTGCCTGACAGGTGAATGGCAGAGTCCAAGGGAATTCTACTTGAGCCTGCTCTTAACCCACTTCTCTAGGAATAGTCTGTTCTTACCCCTGTTTGACACATGCAGGAACCCAAGGCTTCAAGATTTAGTAACTTACTCAAGTTCACAGGTAGTGGCAGCAAGGTCAGGATTTGAACCTAGGTTTTTCTGAGCAAGAGGAGCACATGCTTCAGCCAATACTAGGCTGTTGCCTGAGCCATGTCTTCTGCCCTCCACACCCAGGCTGAAGTCCTCAGAAACTGCCGAGGCTGTCCCCTCAGCCTGGAAGGCTTTGCTCCTGGTGGTCACTCCTTTGTCTCCTTCCCATCACTCAGCCCACCAGTCCTCTGATAGCACTCACTAAAGTGGCCCCGCCTTGCCTTTGGCATGTCAGCCTGGCTGGTGTGCATCACGCACTTAGCCCTGCAGTTGCTCATTCAGCAAGGCCGACGGGGGCTGCTGTGTGCAGGCACTAGGCCCTCCATAGATGGCGCTCCATCAGACCTGTCCAGTGAGTGGGAGACTAGTGGAATCCAGTGTACCTGCTCACCATCTCCCCGCAGGTAAATGAGCGGGTCTTGAACAGGCTCCACCAGGTGCAGAGGATAACTCGAAGACTCCAGCAGGAGCGCAGGTAACCCTTTCTATGCCACCACCCCTCACCATCTCTGCCATCTTCACCCACCTGGCCCTCACAGGCCTCAAGGACAAGAGGTTGAAGATAAAGGCTAGGGTTGAGGCAGACAGGGAGAAAGAGTGGAGCTGGGTTTTAGAGGGAAAAGCTGGCTCCAGGACCCAGGGAAGGGCTGGGAGAGCAGACTGAGCGGACAGGACAGCAGGATGGAGCAGTGGCACCTATTTGCTGTTTGGCTCTGAGCAAGCAATATCCCGTCTGAGCTGCATCTTCCAATCAACTGAGGGCAACACCAATGTCAAAGCTGCTCTGAGGGTTAGGCTGGGCTCTTGGGGATATGCTCAGCTTGGAACTTCCCTGAAGAGGTATTTGTGAAATGAAAGATCACCTGTGTAAACCACTGCCAGGACCCTGGTATGGGAAGTGTGCAGAAAACTTGTGGAAGCAGAGGGGAGGAAGAGAAAGCAGCCTTGGTCAGAGGTGAGGTTCCCAGTAGGAGTGTCATGCTCACCTCAGTCATTAATAGGAATCACAGCTCCTAAGTGAATGTTTGCAAAATGCCAGCCTCAGAGAGCCATCGCTGTGTCTGCATCCAGCCCAGCCCAGCCCAGCCCAGATCAGTATCTCCCACTTACAGAGGAAACGAAGGGTCAGACAAGCCATCTTGCCCAAGGCCCCACTTCCTGGCTAGTGCCCAGTTTCCAGGCCTCTCAGGCTGCAGAACTCTAAATCTGGGTCAAGGACAATCTGGCTTCAAGTAGAATAAGAGCTGGGCTCTACTGTGTGCCCCCAACCCCACTAATAAATAAGCTGTCCCACCGGTGGCCTCTCTGTTCACACAGGTTCCTCATGAGAGTGTTGGACTCCTACGGGGATGACTATCGGGCCAGCCAGTTCACCATTGTGTTGGAGGTGAGCACTGGCCTTCGGGCAGGTTGGGGAACTGAAGCCCAGGACACAATCTTGACTTCCTCCCCTTTACCTACCAGGATGAGGGCAGCCAGGGTACAGACGCCCCCACTCCAGGCAATGCTGAGAACGAGCCTCCAGAGAAAGAGGGGCTGTCCCCCACTAGAAGGACTCCTATACCCCCAGAACCCAGCAGCCCAGCCCCTGGTGAGGGGCCCAGTGGGCGGAAGAGGCGGCGGGTACCTAGGGATGGGTGCCGGGCAGGAACCACGCTGACTCCAGAACTGGCCCCAGCACAGGTAGGAAGGAGTCCAGGTGCTGTGGCCAAAGCGTCACTTGGCTCCTGGGCTTGGCTGCTGTGCTGAGGGGCCCGGAGCTAGGCAGAGCTGGAGAAAGGTGAAGCAGGAAGGGCTGAGGAGGCCTGGGGCTGGACAAGTCTCGAAGGGGAAGACCTGCAGAAGGAAGTGGCTGCAGAGGTAGCAAGATAGGAGGAGAGAAGGAGGGCAGGCGGGTGAGGGTGGAGAACGTGGCACGTCTGGGCGCAGAGCTGGGGCTGCCTCTGAGCACAGGAAGCCTGTGAAAACAGAGCTGGGAGACCCCAGGTCTCCCGCGTTCCCAGGCTCACTTGTGCTTTCCTTCCCTCTCCAGATTAAGGCTGAGGAAGATTTTGGCTTTGAAACAGATGAGACCCTGGATTCAAGTTGGGTTTCTCGGGGACCAGACAAACTGCTGCCCTACCCAACTCTTGCCAGCCCACCCTTTGACTGACCCCAACCCAATAAACTGCCCCCCCCCCATCCAACCTAGTCCCTGTCAACTGTTCCTATTTCTCATCACACGTGGGTTGGTTTCACATTTTATTGGGCGAAGGTGCCTCCTCCCTGTCAATGGAAGTGCTCACAGTTTCTTCAGCCACTCCAAGCTGGGGCCCTGGGGGTCCTGGGGGTGGCTGGGCACGTCAGGCATGTTCCCATCATCTCGGAGGGGCACTGTGAGACAGAAGGGTGGGCCACTGAGATCAGCAGATCTTTACGGCCCTGCAGAGAACAGCAGGGATGGTGGTGCAAGTTCAAAGGGAAACAGGTTTCCAGGCGAGAGAAAGGAGAACCAGGATCAGAGAATCAGTGATGCAGACAGGTAGAGAAACAGGAAATGGTGGGAGTGACGGTTATCCCCAGTGATGGGGGAACCAGACACCTGGAAAGCAACAGATGCAGGGACCCAAAGAGGAACAGAAATCTGGAAAGATAATAGAAACTCAAAAGTATAAAAACAATGGGATGCAAAATATGTGGATTAAGGATTTGGACAGGGAGAGTGCAGACAAACTGCAATATCTGACCCGGCTCAGGAGTGGACTGCCCACTTCCACCCCTCCCTGCAGCACACGTCCCCGCTCACCTGGGTAGTTGTAGGGTGTGGCCTTGTTGATCATGATGGCATACTTGGTGTAGGGGCTGAGTGGGGGCAGAATCACAGCTGTGGAGAGAAGAGTAAGGCCCAGCTTAAAGTGATTCTCTGAGGTGGGGAAAAGGGCAAAAGCTGAGTCTCGGCAAAGAAGGGGGTATCAAGGGGAGCAGGAAGGGCTAGAAATTCCAGGAGGACACTTCATTCTGTGGGCCCTTCAGTATTCTAGGATCCCCATTTACAGGCAGAATACTTCAAGGGAGTTGATGGTCCAGGGATGGGAGCCCATCAGTCAGGGACAAGTCAGGCCTGGAGGGCAGAGGGTAGTGAGGCATCCCAGAGGTGAAAGGGCGTGCAAGGTGTGCAAAAGGATCTAGGCCAGGGCTGCCTGACATAAAGATAACTTTACATTGTAATTTTACAGAGTAGCATTAAATGTTTCATATTAATCTTATGTTAAATCTGGTACACCCAAACATCATTTTTACATAAAAAATCAACATTAAAATGTTGATAAGTGTACATATTTTTGAACATGCTAAGCTTTTAAATCCAGTGTGTCTCCTACCATCTCAAAGTACTGGCCCCCCTCAAAAGCTCAGGAGCCCCGTAGCGTTCTAGAATCTCACCCGGTGTGATCTGCAGACCAGCAGTACTGACAAGACCCGGGAACTTGTTAGAAATGAAGAATCCCAGGCCTTGCCCCAAGCTTACAGAATCATAAATGCTTTTAACGGGACCGCCCACCCTGCCCAGGGTGAGCCCTGGGTGAGCAGCGCAGGTGCGGGGCACAGACTCCCCAGCTCACTCCCATCCCAGCCAACCCAATGCGGATGCGGGGGCGGGGAAGGGCTCATTATTTCACCACTGGGTGAGTCCCAAGGCACAACCAGGGTGGACAGCCCTGCAGAGGCTCTGCACCTCTAGAGTGGCGGTGAACTGGGAGGCGTGGAGCGGTTCAGGCGTGAGCTCGGGCCAGCGAGGGGACGCCGTGGGGCGCGAGATGGAACGGGGCGGGTGACGCCCGTTCGCGCCCGGGGCACTCACGCACCGAGACTTCCAATGGCGAAGGACACGACCAGCACCGGCTCCTTGGCCCAGGCATTCTTCAGAAAGGCGGCGAGTTCTGGAGGGTCGGGTAGAGAGTCACCTGCAGGGGCTGCCGGGTGACCTCTAGCCCGCTCGCGCCACCCCGCCCGGGAAGAGCCCCCGTCTGCCTGCCGCGCCCTGTCCAGGACGGACCCCACCGCCTCCACGTGTATTCCGCCGCACCTCAGCCCTACGACCGCCCGCGGGCTACCAGAAAGACCCGTGCCCTGCACAACCGCAGCGTTCACACTTACTCTCAGCCATCTTGTTCCTGGCGGCGGCGAGGGCGCGCAGCACCCTGGGAGTTGTGGTCCTTGAGCCAGCCTCCGCAACCTGGGCAGCGCGTGCGCCCTGGAGACGTGTCCTGGCGGAAGCGGAGGCGCGCAGCACCCTGGGAGTTGTGGTCCCTGCGCTCTCAGTCCGCGCGTGCGCACGGAAGTTGGAGGCTGTGGCGGGGAAGATTTAAATACCTTGAGCACCAGCTGGGTTCACTTTTCTCAGTCTAGGGGTCGCTCCCAAGGATTGACTTCTAGTCTTCCTGCAGCAACTCACATACGGAGGAATTTTTGAAAACCCATTTACAGAAGGAGAAGCGGAGGCTGAAGAAGGCGAACAGCTGCCCTACGGATTTGCAGCTCGGCATCAGCTGGTGCTGGAAGCGCTAGTTTTCGTGTCAGATGGTTTAGGGACCTTCTGTGGGCTCTCACAGTTCCCGCTGTTACTGCCGTATAGCTGGGATCACTCCCCTCCCCATTTTTTCCTTAAGTGAAATGGTCCAGGTTTGTCTTTCAGTGAAAGTGGGAGTTGCTTGAGAGCAGTAACGAGGTCTGAGCCCTCTGCTCCCGGCTTCACGCAGCAAGGGCCTGGCGCTTAATGGGTGCTTTTTTTTTTTTTTTTTTTTTTAAGTTTAATGAACACAACAGGTTATGATTCCTCCTTCCAACTTTTCCCACAGACCACGGGGCTGTGACACAGCCACCCAGAGCCCTTCCTCCCCGCAGCCCTTCTCCTTCCCTATACAGGGCTGTCTGACGTCTGGCTTTCTGCCTCATTTCCTGGGAGGGAGGAGGGCATCTCCATTCCTGGCTTCAGCTTTAGAGAGAGCCCACTATGGCCCTGGCGGTGGCCCTCCAGCTGCTGACCCTCTGTGAGCTGCCCCCTCCCTTCTGCCTGGGTCCTTGGCTGGGCTGGGAGCAGAGAGAGAAAAGGGTTGGGGACCCAGCCACCCTGCAGCACCAGCTGGGCGGTTAGCATTCAACTTCTAGTTGAGAATCAAGGGACAGGACTGGGGCCAAGACTGCTGGGCATTAAACTAGAAAAGACGGAGTCCCAGAAGAGGAGGGAAGTGGGAACAGGCTTCTTAGATCCTGAGACAGGAGGGGATCAGAGACTAGGGAGTGTGGAGTCCTGATTTAATTATTTATTTTTATTTTTTGGTACCAGGGATTGAACTCAAGGGCAGTTAACCGCTGAACCACATCCCCACCACCATTTTTTTTTCCCCCTTAGAGGCAGAGTCTCTCACTGAGTTGCTTAAGGGCCTTTCTAAATTTCTAAGGCTGGCTTTCAACTTGAGATCCTCCTGCCTCAGCCTTCAGAGCTGCTGGGATGACAGGCTGTGCCACCCCCCACCTGGCTGAGGACTCCTGATTCTGATAGGGGAGGAGGTGGGAGCCAGGACCTCTGAATCCCTGGGAAAGGAGGGGTGGGGGGCAGGACTCCTGGCTGGAGGGAGGAGGGGGCTAGGGGCAAACATCTGGCTTCATAAGCAGGTGTGGAAGAAAGCCTGAATTCCTGACAGCTTAGAGAGGAGTAAGTAGGGAAGAAGTTCCTGTTCTTCAGACTAAGGAGAGGCTGAGGAATCCCATTCCTGGGCTCCTGGTGAGGTGGGACTGGCACCCTCGAAGGACTTTACAAAAAATTTCTCCTCAACCCTGTGCAGGGGCTCTGGGTCACGCAGACCTCACTCCGTCTGGTGAGTAACACTCCTCTTCATCCTCTGCTTTGCTGACATCTCTTTTCCAACTACTCAGATTCTGTTCTGGTGCTCAGGCTCACCCCAGATTTCCTTCCCTCCCTTCCTTTCTCCTGCCCCTTTCTGCTCCCTACCTTCCTCCCTCTCTCCCCTTCTTTTTCTTCCTTCCTTCCTCACTCCTTTTAGTGGCCATGATAGGTGGATAGTGAAGAGACATGACCTAGAACCCCAGCTTCACCACCTTATTACTAGATGACCTTGAACAAACCACGGCTTTGAAGACATTTCCTTCGTTATAAAATGGGCTGTTGTAGGACTTAGTCTAACCACATGGGTAAATCCCCTGGCTTGGAGAAGTACCATCTCCTGCCATTCCAGTTATCCCTTCAACTGGATTCTGGGGTGAGGGGTCGTTCCCTTTTGATATACATTTAGGTATATCCAGTTTTCCACCCTTACAAAAAGGAGGGTCTCCCATCCTGAGACGGGTTTCTTCCTGTTTCCTCAGAAGTGACACTGACCTTTCCTTTCTCCCACTACACAACACTACAACTTCAAATAAGAATTATCTGAGAAAGGGCTGGGGATGTGGCTCAAGCGATAGCGCACTCGCCTGGCATGCCGGCAGCCAGGGTTTGATCCTCAGCACCACATACAAACAAAGATGTTGTGTCTCCCGAAAACTAAAAAATAAATAAATAAATATTAAAAATTCAAAAAAAAAAAAAAAGAATTATCTGAGAAACCATCGATGTCTGAGCTACCAGCTTCTTTCAAATTGTTTTTCTACCATTGAGCCACATCCCCAGCCCTTTTATTTTTATTTTGAGGCAGAGACTCACTAAGTTGCAGATGCTGGTCTTAAATTTGCATCCTGCTGCCTCAGCTCTTTAGTTGCTAAGATTCCTAGTGTGCACCACCACACTCAGCTCAAGTTAAGTTTTTTTTTTTTTTAATGATAAAGCTAATATCTATTCATGGTTATAAAAATTCAGTCATTAGTAAAAAACATATAACAGTCTCCTTCTTCTTCATCTTCCTTAAATGATCTGAATTTCCTTATATTCACACACATGCATGTATTTATAGATTTGTTTTTTGGTTTTGGTTTTTCCCAAGCAATATTGATAATGGATGACTCACCCTGTTCTGTATCTCATGCTTTTTACTTTACAATCTGTCTTGGAGCTGTCTCCATGCCACTCTTTCTACTTTTTATTGTTATTCCAACTGTTGACCAGAATTTGCTATTGCAGGATGGCTAGATTCTGGGGTGAGGGGTCATTCCCTTTTGATATACATTTAGGTATATCCAGTTTTCCTGGCTATACAATCAATACTGCAACAAGCACTCCTGCATGACTTTCTGGTGCACACATGTGCACCTTTGTGCCTGGAGAAGCAGTGGAATTATTGGGTCATTACTCATGTCCTGTATCTTGATAGAAACTGACACATTTCCTTCAGAGAGGGTACATTCAAGTGCCCAGGGGCCAGTTTCAACATATTCACCCAAACTCAATGTTAACCACAGTTTTTGATAACCTGATTGGCAAAACAATCTTGGTGATTTTTTTTTTTAAATAATTGCTATGAGGGTTAAGCAACCTTTTTCCTTTAGTTGTGTTGTAGGCGACTGACTTCCTCCTTTGTGAATTGCCTGTTCATGTCTTGTACAGATTTTATTTGAATGGTTCTCGGGTTTCTTTCTATATTCTTAATCCAAATGATTTATGAATCAAGTGATTTTTGCCAATACTGTCACATGACTTCTAGCTTCATTTGTCTTTTGGCAAATATAACCCAAGAGGTCAAGTTTATTAATTTTATCTCATGAATTTTTCATTGTACAGCTTAAGAAACCTTTCCTACTTCAAGATATTTGTGTTTTTCTACATATTCTAAGAATACATTTTAAGAAACACATGTAGGTTTTTAATTAAGCTGGAATTTGATTGGGGGAATGGTGCGAGGTAGGATCCCATGTTACTTTTTTCCAAATAGCAAGTTTTGGCAACTGTTAGTCTGTTTTGTGCTACTATAACTGAGTGCCACAGGGTGGGCAATTTATACACAACAAAAGTTTATTTAGTTCTTAGTCTGGCTGCAAAGTCCAATATCAAAGGGCCTGGTAAGGACCATCTATCTGCATCATGCTGTGGCCAAAGGCATCACCTAGTCAAGAAGGGTATTGTGTGTGTGTGCGCGCGCACACGCATGCATGTGCGTGTGTGTGTGTGTGTTCGTGTGTGTAACTTACCCTTATATCAAACACCCACTCTGGCAATAATGGCACCGATCCAACCAATCACCTCCTTTTTTTAAAAAAAAATGCTTTTTAGTTGTAGATGGACACAATATTTTTATTTATCTTTGTGTGGTGCTGAGGATCGACATGTCCAGGGCCTCACACGAGCTAGGCCAGTGCTCTACCACTGAGCCACAATCCATCACCTCTTAAATTCCCACCTCTCAACCCTATTGTGTTAGGGATTAGGTTTCCAACACATTATCTCCTGGGGACAAATTCAAACCAGAGCAGCAACGACTGAAATCTGGTACCAACATTCTAGAGACTAAAACGCAGATGTCTCGGACATGGCCCTCTGAAATTGTTTAAAAGCCATAACCCAGTGCAGTGGCATTGGCAAATGCCTATAATCCCAGCCACTTGGAAGGCTGAGGCAAGCATTGCAAGTTCAAGACCAGCCTGGGTAATTTAGTGAGCTCCTGAGTCAAAATTAAAAAAAATAAAATAAAAAAGGCTAGGGATGTGGTTCAGTGGTAAAGCACCCGTGAGTTAATTCCAGTACCCAAAACAAACAAACTACACAAACAAACAACAAAACTGGAAGTGTGTGTGTGTGTGTGTGTGTGTGTGTGAGAGAGAGAGAGAGAGAGAGAGAGAGAGAGAGAGAGAGCAGGTATCACTCAAATGCGGAGGCTGGCTTTGAACCTGCCCTTCTCCAGCCCCAGCCTCCCGGGATCACGGCGGCTCCACCACGCCGGCTTGCCACTTTCTCTGACCAGCCTGAGTGTGGTCCAGGCCTTCCTCTACTTTACACAGCTGAGGCGCACAGAGGGGCAAAGGCGGCTGGTCCCGGTTGCTTTCTTCCTCCCCCAACCTCCCCGGAACCCCCTGCGGTTCCTGGGAGGTCCCAGGGCTCACGCCGACTCCTTTATTAAGTTCCCCCAGCCTCCTACCCCAAGCCATGGCTGGGGGCTCAGCCAGCGGCAGTCGTGACCCCGGGGGTCAACGTGACCTTGAGGTGCCGCGCACCCCAGCCCGCCTGGAGGTTTGCACTCTTCAGGGCGGGAGAGAGCGTGCCCCTGCTCCTCCGGGACGTGTCCACGGAGCTGGCCGAGTTCTTTCTGGAGGCGGTGACTCCCGCCCAGGGGGGCAGTTACCACTGCTCCTACCGCAGGCTGGACTGGGGACCGGGCATCTGGTCCCAACCCAGCGACGTCCTGGAGCTGCTGGTGACAGGTGAGGTCCTGAGCGGGAAAGGCGAAGGGCGCAGGGGCCGGGAAAGGGAGGGGAGAGGAGGGACGGGGACGCTGGGAGGAGAGACCGAGCTAGGTGGGTAGCTGGGAGGTGAACAGACCGAGCTAGGTGGGTAGCTGGGAGGTGAACAGACCGAGCTAGGTGGGTAGCTGGGAGGTGAACAGACCGAGCTAGGTGGGTAGCTGGGAGGTGAACAGACCGAGCTAGGTGGGTAGCTGGGAGGTGAACAGACGCGCTGGCAAAGCGGAGAGGGGGATACAGGGGAGGATGGGCGGGGAGGAGCCAGGTCGCGCGAGCTCAGGCCCCCATCGCCCCGCAGACCTACTGCCGCGGCCGTCGCTGGTGGCGCTGCCCGGGCCGGTGGTGGCGCCCGGTGCCAACGTGAGCCTGCGCTGCGCGGGCCGCCTGCCGGGCATGAGCTTCGCGCTGTACCGCGTGGGCCTGGCGGCGCCGCTGCAGTACCGCGACTCGGCGCTGCGCTGGGCCGACTTCCCGCTGCTCGGCGCCCGGGCGCCCGGCACCTACAGCTGCTACTACCACACGCCCTCCGCCCCCTACGTGCTGTCGCCGCGCAGCGAGCCGCTGGTCGTCAGCTCTGACGGTGAGGCGCCCCGGGACCTAGGGGCCCGATCCCAGCCCTCCTCCTGGGGACCCAGGGACACAGTCCAGCTGTCCTCCTCTGGAACCTGGCGAGTGGCTTCAGCCCTTCTCCCCAGGACCTAAGGAACTGTCGCCAGCCCTCCTCAGGACACGGAGATAGACCCAGCCCTCCTTCCCCAGATCCAGGGCCCCAAGCCCAGTCCTTCTCCCTGAGACCCGGAGTCTGAGGCCTTGTTCTCCCATCTGCCCTGCCCAACTTTGAGACTTGGGTCCCCAGCTCCACCCCAGGAGTTAGAGCCCCAAAGGTGCACATTTGGGGGTCTGGAGCTGACAGCCCATCTCTCTCTCCTTGGCCTGCAGACTCCAGCTCCTTGGACTACACCCAGGGGAACCTCATCCGCCTGGGGCTGGCGGGCTTGGTCCTCGCGTCCCTGGGTGTGCTGGTCGTTTTGGACTGTTGCAGCAGGAGCAGTGTGCTCGACCAGGCCTTGCCCTAGGGGGTCTGGAGGTAGACACCTGTGATGTCAGAAGAATTCCTGCAGAGCAGCGCAGACACTGGGATCCCTGGGGCCAGACAGCCCCTACTGGGGGGCCGGACAGCCCCCCAGGCTCAGCCCCACTTAGCCATCCTTCACCTTTGTGTCCTGCCACCTTCTTCAAACCTTGGTTTCTTTTATTGTAAAATGGGCACGTTCACACCACAGATTATCGTCTGATTGAGTGAATAATTCCCCCAAAAAAGTGTTTAGAAACTGTGAGTAGCCTACAGTAAATGCTCAATAAATGTTAGCTATTGTAATTTCTACCAGGCTTGCAAGACCCCATTGCAGTTTACCTTTGCACTGCTCCATCTCGCTTTTTAAGCAACTCGTTATATCCTTTTATGGCACCCTTGACTGCCAAGCAAATCCCTTTCAAACTGTTCAGGCCTTCCCCCAAAAGTAGACTTAGAGGAGACCAAGCAGAGCTTCTGCCCTAGTTACAGCTTCATTTGCAGTGGTCTCCTTGACCACCACCACCACCACCATCATCGTTAAAGCCAGCTCCTTTGCCAGGCAAGAGCAAGTGGTGCATGCGCAGTAGAGCTTGGACCTGGTCGCTGATCTTTACTCCGTCAGTTTCCCATCGTACTCTTGGCTGCAGTAGTGGTTAAAACACACACACACACACACACAGCCTTCCTCTTGCAGCCTGTTCCCTTTCCTTGTTTTCTCTCTCTCCCTCCCCAAGACCTGGCTGACCTGCACAATTTCTCCTGGATTTATTCATTTAACTTCTATATTTTTCTGGCCAACCTTGACGCTGTTCTCATCTCCAGGAACCCAGATTCTGTCTCCAAGCAGTTCTCCCCACTCAATGTTCATGTATTCCCATCTTGACTTCTGCCGTGGAGCACAGACTCTATTTTTTATTATGTTTTCCAACTTCCTCCTCCTCCTCTTCCCAGTGAATGGAGAAGACTGTAACTGTCAGCTCTTGGACAGCCCCAGCTCTGCCGGCTGTCACCTTGTGCAGTTTATCAAGCCTTCTGAATTTTCCTCTGTGAAAGGGGGGACTGAACATATCGACCATGTCATCTCTAGAGAGAGTCAAACGGATGACATGTGTTTCCAACCTTAGGCCAGCAGCCTTCACTTCTCGGCTCCTCTTTCTGCACACGATAAGTAAAATTTACATGTAACCGTGTACACACCCACACACATGTACTAACATTCATAAAGCAAAGTTTGCTTCTGTGCAGATGCACGCTGACTTACTCTATCTTATTAAAAATGCCTTTAGGACCACCCCAAACATGCTCACGGTCTCAAGAAGTATAAGCCACGTTTGTTGCTGTACTCTTTTCTTTTAGAAACTAACCTACACCACATTGTGCATAAAGATTGAGAAGTTTAAGATGTGCACAGACCATATAAAATAGTGTTATTTTAATACCTGAGTTGTCTTAGTGGGCAAGATTAGGGTGTTCAAATGCGAGATCAGGCAGAACTGAGCTTTGAAGTCAGACTGGCTACCTGGGTGCACTGACATGCTGCCAAGGTGTCCTCTGGACCTTCTGGGTTTGTCCTTGGTACCCATGTGGGACCCTGGCAAGGTTCATCCAGGGCAAAGCTCCCTGACACAGGTGGATGTGGGACATCAAGAGAGATGAAGGGGCTGGGGTTGTGGCTCAGCGGTAGAGCACTTGCCTAGCACGTGCAGGATCCTAGGTTCGATCCTCAGCACCGTATATAAAATAAAGGTATCATGTCCAACTAAAACTAAAAAATAAATATAAAAAAAAGAGAGAATGAAGGGAGCAGCCTTGGATGGGGCTTCAGGGTCATCAAACCCAGTCTTCCCTCTTTGTAGATGAAAAATTGTGGAAAGGAGCAGTGTGGTGAAGTCCCCTGACACCATAGGAAGTCGGAGGCACATCAGGGAGGCGCTCCTGGTGTGACTTGACCTGGTGCAACTTGACCTGGTGCAACTTGACCTGGTGCAACTTCACCTGGCGTCCTCCTCTCACTCACTCCACCACACATCTGCTGTCCACTCACACCTATCGTGGACGCTCATCTGTAGCCACCACCCACCTCTTCTTGCTTGCTGTCATTTCTACACCTCTCTATTCTCCCATTTCCCTCCGTCTCATTCATTCATTCTTCCATCCCTCCATCCCTGCATTAATCAATCTATTGACCCACTGAACTGTTGACTAATTAGTCAATGCACTATGCATTCATCTGCCTGTGCACTGAATCCACATCTTTTATTCCTGTTGTCACCAACAGCCCTCCAAGATAGACCCAGGCGGTCAGCCCGGGATTCAAGTCTGTGTGGTCAGAGTTGTTTTCTCTGTGGCTACTTCTCAACACAAGAATGTATTGAGTGGAGATTTCTGAGTTTTGTTGGGTTTTGCCTCCTTTATCACTTTTACTTTTAAATAAGGAAGAGAGAGGGGAACAATTCACAATTCATATCTGCAAAGCAACCTGTGGCTCTCGAGGCAGGCATTTCTTTACTTGTCACCTATATGTGCTCAGAGTGTGTCAGGTACTGGTGATGAGTCTGAGGTCTCTGGTACATATCTTCCATCCATCCTCCTTGCTGGGTTGATGCTAGTCATGCTGTTTCCATTGGCTCAAACTCTCATGGGGCCAAGCTCAAATTTCTATACATCCAGTTGTTTTATTATTTTATAAATATTATTATTGTTATCATCTTGTTACTGGGGATTGAACTCTGGGGCACTTTACCACTGAACCCTTTTTATTTTTTGAGACAGGGTTTCACTAAGTTGCTGAGGCTGGCCTCCAACTTCTGATCCTCTTGAATCCGCCTTCTCAAGTCTCCAGGCTTACAGGAGAGCACCACTTCCCCTTGGCTCCAGTTGTTTCAAATGCAGCCCAAGTAAGCAGATTTTTAGACAGTCGGAGCTTACCTGCTTTGCACCGCCCACAAAAGCACATTCAACACCTGCAAGCCAAACCCTGAGGCTGGGAAAGACTCCAGGTCTTTGCCACCCTTTGGAGTTCTGGTCCCCACTTGCTGTCCCCTAGGCATCGGGAGGGACTTCCCTTCTGCAAACCCATCAAGGCTCATCCAAATAAACTCGTAGTGCATTACCGCCACCTTGTGGCACATCCTTGTCCTTGACCAGAGCTGAAGTCCAGAGCACACTTGCCAGTCACTGTGCCGATTCTGGATCATGAGTCACGAATGTCATTCCCAGATCTCTCAGAGTGGCACCCTGACTGGCCATTGCTGGAAACAGGGTGCCCAGAGGAGGAGGAGGAGCACAGAGGTTCCTGCGGGCTGGGTCTACTACAGTCTCCCTACATGCCTGGCTCCACACCCAGCTCCCCGCTCAGGAGTCCATCTGGCCCTTTGGGCATCTGTCTCCATCAGCTCAGGCTGCAGTGACATGTCATAGACTGGGTGACCTGAAGAGCCGTTCTGGGGTGTGGGGAGGTACATGATGAAGTGTGGCTGGGCTTTGGTGAGGGGGGAGAGAGAGAGGGGGTGAGGGAGAGAGAGAGCCCCGAACTGTGGGAGGCCAACCTAACGGGTGACTGAGTTACACTCCCCAGCTGGGTGCTGAGGCACTCAGTCACAGAAATGAGTGTGTCTTGCTACAGCCCCATGGGTGAAGCTAGGCTCACCTGTCCCTTTGTAATATAACCCCTTGCCCTTCCATGGAAGTGCCTTGTGTGTGTCCCCTCCTCTTACTGTGCCCTTGGGTGTGGCCTACCCAGGTGTCAGTCAACCTGCTGACAGTGGACATCATGAAGATACTCAGCCCCCTGAAACCTGACCCCTTGCCTCATTTGAACAGCTTCTCCTCAATAAAAGGGGTCAGCGCGTGCTATCACTCTCTCTCTCTCTTTTCTGAGGACCCTTAAGGTCAGAGGAGCCTTCACAGTGACCCCAAAGAAAAAGGTATTTGTGTCTCTTGTGTGGTTATTTCGTGCAGCCCAGTTAGCCCAGTTTGACTGGAGTGACCCCCGAGCCTTTTAGTCGCGAGAACAGAAACCCGACACCCAACCCTCTGGTGTGTCTTCCCCTTCTTCTAAGGATCCTAATCCCATCCTGGGGATCTACCCTCATGGCCTCATCCAAGCCAAATGGCCACCAAGAGCCCACCTCCTAATGCCATCACATGGGGGTCAGGGCTTTACCCTGCACTCAGCCCATGACAGATCCGCTAGGCGATTGAGTATCCTTATTTATTTTTACAGATTTGTGGAAGGTTCCTGTCTCTGTCAGGGCTGGCTGCATGATGGAATTCTGGAAACCGTATGCTCATCCAGATGCTCACAGGTTCCAACTGACTGGGTACAGTGGCACATTCCCGTAATCCCCAGAAATTCAGGAGCGTGAGGCTGGAGGATCACAAGCTCAAGACCAGCCTCAGCAACTTAGCAAGGCCCTAAGCAACTTAGTGAGACCCTGGTTGAAAATAAAACAATAGAAGGGCTGAGGATGTGGCTCAGAGGTAAACCATCCCTGGGTTCAATCCCTGGTACCAAAAAGTAAAAACTAGGCTTAAACTGCCACTGATCCAGGAGGACCCTAACTGGCCTGTGTGATGCTCCCGGAACAGGAGTGGAGCCCAGCTTTCGAGCATTGGCTTCGAGACCATCTCCCGCCCACCTCCAGGGATCCTGTGTACAATAAGACATGCACACTCTGTCTTCAACCCCGGTTCCTGGCCCCTGGCATTGCCTGGGTGGTAGTGGGGGCAGGAGCATCTTTTGTGACTCACAAGGAGCCCCTTCAACTTTGCCCGAGTTTATGCTGAGGAGGTGACTTGGGGATGTGGAGAGGTTGCCAAAGGAAGCAACGGGGTGATTGGAAGGCTGAGACTTTCCACCTCATCCTCTGACGGGCAGGGAGGAGAGAGGGGCTGGGGGTGATCAGCCAATCAACCATGCCCATGCAATGCAGCCTCCATAAAGGCTCTGAATGATGGGTGCAGAACCCCCCCCACTGGCGAACACGTCCACGTGGGGCAACCCTGTGGTTGGGGACCTGTGCTGGGGAGCCTTCTGGACCGTGTCTGCTGTCTCTCCAGCTGGGTTTCCTTTGTATCCTTCATAGCATCCTTTATAATAACTGGCCATAGTAAGTGGAGAACATCCCTGCATTCACCCAGCTGTTGTAGCAAATTCTCAAATATGAAGGGAGGTTGTGGTGGCACTTCTCACCA